TTTTGGTAAATTTTTGTCTATGTAGTGTAAAAACTGTGGGAGGAGTTAGGGTGGCAAATTTGGCTATAATAAGAATAAGAATAAGAATATATATGTGAGATAACAATAAGTGTTCTTGCAAGAACACTTAATAATAATATATATGTGAGATAACAATAAGTGTTCTTGCAAGAACACTTAATAATATATATGTGAGATAACATTAAGTGGTCTTGCTATGCAAGAACACTTAATAACTAGAAAAGCTACAATTTCTGGGGAAATTGTGTGAAGTGTTCCTGCCTCCACCAGTAGTCTACAACTGGAGTGGGCGGAGTAACTGTTATCATTTATATAGCACATTTAATTGCAACTTTGTTGCACAGTTACATTAAACCATACATTTATAAAAACATTAGCAGGTGTTCAAAAGGCCCTGTCTATGACATCACTTGCTGCTGCAGCCTGGCACAGGTCAGAGAGAGGGAGACCACTAAAAAAGAGGGAAGGGAGGGGAGAGGAACACTAGGAGGACGGGAAGGAACACTAAGGGGATTTGGGGGGGACCACTGAGAGACAGGGAATGGAGGGGATAGGACCACTAAGGGAGGGGGTGGGGGAGGAACACTAAAGGAAGGGAGGGGAGAGGAACACAAAGGGACATGGAGGGGAGGGGAGAGGACCACTAACAGAGGGGGGGGCAGGAGAGGAACACTAAGGGACAATGAAGGGAGGGGAGAAGAACACTAAAGGACATGGAGGGAAGGGAAACACTAAGGGACAGGAAGAGAGGGGAGAGGACCACTAATGGACGGGGAGGGGAGAGGACCACTAAGGGACAGGGAGGGGAGAGGAACACTAAGGGACATGGAGGAGAGGGAAGAGGAAAACTATTGGAACAGGGAATTGACCATTGAGGGAGGTGGGGAAGAGGAACACAAAATGACAGGGAAGGGAGGGAAGATGAACACTAAGGAACAAGGAAAGAAGGGGAGAGGAACACTTAAGGGACATGGAGGGGAGAGGACCATGAAGGGACAGGAAGGGGAGAGGAACACTAAGGGACAGGGAGGGGATCACTAAGGGACAGGAAGGTGAGAGCACCAGTAAGGGACATGATGAGCAGGGGCACCTGAGTGGGGAGAAATACACACTGAAGGACATGAGGGAGTAGAAAGACACATAGATGGGGCTGGGGATGTAAGAGACACACATAAGGACCTGGGGTGGAAAAACAAAGAAGCTGGGGTGAAAGAGACACAGAAAGGCTGGAGAAAAGGAAAGAGAGACACAGAGGGACTGGGTGTAAAAGAGAAACACACAATGGAGCTGGGAAGAGTAAAAGGCACAAAGGGGCTGGGAGAGAAGGAGACACACAAAGGGGCTGGGGGAGTAAGACACACAAAGGGGGGTTGTAAGAGATACACAAGGAAGGTGTAAGACACACTGTGATAAACTCCCATTTTTACCTGAGTTTGCCACAAGCTCCTGGAGGAGCCTGCTTGCCAGCCTCCTGCCCACAGACTGTGGACCCTGTGAAAAATAATCTAAAAGTTTCTGTTCGTGCAAGTGGGATTATATGGTTTGTTTATCGAACAACCACACGAACCAGAGACCACCTTGGAGCTTGTTGACACCTATTAACAACTTGGAACATTTCTCACCACAGTGTTCTAATTCTTCGTCTGGGTGGCCGCAATTCCTATAGACAACCACGAGGTCGCGGCCATCTTGTTCGCATGAATGCAGGCAGCGGTGTTTGGGCGCTGGACTTCCATCATTGCCTGCGTTCCGTTCTATACAAGTTAGAAGAGCACTGTTCGGTGGAATCATTCGTCTGGATAAAGGGAACAAGCTCCAGGGTAAGACTATTGACTCTATTCGGTAGTTTGTTCGTTTTCAAACTTCCGAACTAGACCGAAGGCAAGCCCGGATTCTCTGGAACTGTTTTGGGCATGGGACCATGCCTGCGGTCGCTCAAATAAATGACTTCCATAGAATTTCTGAATCCCTGAACTGATGTGGGTGATTTTTGGATATCTTGGTTACCCAGATCAGGGCTATCAGAGGATATCATGTGTTTTGGGGTACTTTTGGTACCTTTTAGAAATGTTTTTTTTTTGCAATTGGGTTAATGCAGTATCTGATCCAGTTATCTCCCAGGCAGACGGGATGGGTTGTTTGCATTGTGTGGGAGTGTCTTACACTGTAAATGTGTTGTTATTGGTTTGGAAGTTTGTGTCCCTGTCCCCAACAAGGTCCATGAGGGCGTACCCCTTGCTTGGGGACTTGCATAAAAGGCCAAGTGTGGCACTATTAATATCTATTCCAGCTTGCACTCCAAAACTGTGTGTTGTCCTGTTATTGGAGGGAAAGAAGATTTACTCCTGTGTCTGATGTCCCAGCTTGCAGGGGATTCAACGGGGAAAGTCCTTGTAAAGACTAGAGCTAATTCCCCCATTCTGCTCAAGAAAGATGCGGTTCCATGCCCCAGGCAAGCCCAGGGCCGGACTGGGGATACTGGGACTGTGAGGTGGATAGGGGCTGTTTGAGTGGGTAGTGGGGCTGTATGGTGGGTAGGGGACCGTGAGATGGGTGGGCTGTATAGTGGGTAGGGGCTGTAGGTAGAGGGGGCTCCAGAAAGTGGGTAGGGGGGGCGTATGCGGGTAGAGGCTGTATAATGGGTAGGGGCTGTGAGGTGGGTAGGGGGCTGTATAATGGGTTGGGGGGCTGTATAGTGGGTAGGGGGGCTTTATGGTGGGTAGGAGGTCTTTAAGGTGGGTACGGGGACTGTGAGTGGGTAGGAAGTCTGTATGGTGGGTAAGGGGACTGTCAGCAGGTGGGGGGGCTGTGATGTGGGTAAGGGGGCTGTAAAGAGGGTAGGGGGCTGCATAATGGGTAGGGGGCTGTGTATGTATGTCTGTCTGTATGCATGCATGTATGTCTATGTCTGTCTGTATGTCTGTATGTCTGTCTGTATGCATGCATGTCTGTCTGTATGTCTGTATGCATGTATGTCTGTCTATGTATGTCTGTATGCATGCATGCATGTATGTCTGTCTGTATGTCTGTATGTATGTATGTATGCATGCATGTATGCATGAATGTATGTCTATGTATGTATGTCTGTATGCATGTATGTCTATCTGTCTGTATGTATGTCTATGTATGTATATATATGTCTGTATGTCATTATATATGTATATATGTATGTCTGTATGTCAGTATGAATGTATGTCTGCATATCATTATGAACGTATGTCTGTGTGTATGTGTGTATGGATGTCTGTATGCATGTATGTCTGTCAGTATGTCTGTATATATGCATGTATGTCAGTCTGAATGTATGTATGTATGCCATTATGAGTGTATGTCTGTATGCCATTATGCATGTATGTGTGTATGGATGTCAGGGTCTGTATGTCTGCCAGTATGTCTGAATGTATGTGTGTATGTATGTATGTATGTATGTGTGTATGTATATATGTCAGTGTGTATGTATGTATGTGTCTTTATGTCCTCATGCATGTGTGTCTGTATGTATGTTAGTATGTGTCTATCTGTCACTATGTATGCCTGTGTGTCTGTATATGTGTGTATGTCTCAGTATGTGTGTATCAGTATGTATGCCTGCAGTGGGGTACACATGACCCATGGGGCCCCGGTGCGAAAATTGATCCGTGGGCCCCCCCTGCGCGCGGGCCGGGCCGCAACACATGGCGGTGGGCACCTGGTCGCAGGTGTTACAGGGCTGCGACCCCTGCGACCGCGGTATGTACGCCAGTGCATGCAGATGCACACACACTTAAAGGACCACTATAGTGCCAGGAAAACACTCGTTTTTCCTGGCACTACTCAATGCCCTGAATGCCCCACCCTCAGGGACCCCCGCCGGCTCTGGAGGGAAAGGGTTAAAACTTTACACCTTTTCCGGCTGGGCGGAGAACTCTCTCCTCCTTCTCTCCTCCTCCGTTCCTCCTCCTGCTGGACTGAATGCTTGGCGGCAGGCGCGGCGTACAACCGTAGCATGGGAAACATTTACAATCCAACTATGGAGCGATGCTCTCACTGTGAAAATCAGGATTGGGGAAGGCTTAACCCATTGATAAACATAGCAGTTTCTCTGAAACTGCTATGTTTATAAAAAAAAAAATGGGTTAACCCTAGAAGGACCTGGCACCCAGACCACTTCATTAAGCTGAAGTGGTCTGGGTGCCTAGAGTGGTCCTTTAAAGGTTAATGAAGTGGTCTGGGTGCCAGGTCCAGCTAAGGTTAACCCATTTTTTCATAAACATAGCAGTTTCAGAGAAACTGCTATGTTTATGAATGGGTTAAGCCTTCCCCTATTTCCTCTAGTGGCTGTCTCATTGACAGCCACTAGAGGCGCTTGCGTGCTTCTCACTGTGATTTTCATAGTGAGAGCACGCCAGCGTCCATAGGAAAGCATTATGAATGCTTTCCTATGTTACCGGCTGAATGCGCGCACAGCTCTTGCCGCGCGTGCGCATTCAGCCGACGGGGAGGAGAGAAGGAGGATCGGAGGAGGAGAGCTCTCCGCCCAGCGCTGGAAAAAGGTAAGTTTTAACCCCTTTTCCCTTTCCAGAGCCGGGCGGGAGGGGGACCCTGAGGGTGGGGGCACCCTCAGGGCACTATAGTGCCAGGAAAACGAGTATGTTTTCCTGGCACTATAGTGGTCCTTTAAAGGACCACTACAGACACCCAGATCACATCAGCTCAATGAAGTTGTCTGGGTGTCAGGTCCCTCTATTTTTAACCCTGCAGATGAAAACAGCAGTTTCAGAGAAACTGCTATGTTTTACTGAGCGTTAATCCAGCCTCTAGTGGCTGTCTCACTGACAGCCGCTAGAGGAGCACACTGAACGTCCATAGGAAAGCATTGAGTAATGCTTTCCTATGGGCAGTTTGAATGCGTGCGCGGTCGCATTCGGAGCTGAGAGGCTGAGGGATCCCCAGCGCCAAGGGAGTCCGGCGCTGGAGAAAGGTAAGTGCTGAAGACACACACTTACAGACGCATACACACTAGCTAACAGACACACACATTTACTGACAGAGACACAGTCAGCGACAGACATACATACACACTCACTTACAAAACATACACTCTCATTGACAAACACACTCACTAACAGACATCAAACAGACTCACTAACACACACACTCAGTAAGACACACACAGTAACACACTCACTGACACTCACTAGCAGACACACACACTCACTCTAACACTCACACTAACACTCACTAGCAGACACACACACTAACACTAACACTCACACACACACTAACACTAACACACACGAACACTCACACTAACACTCACACACACTCACACACTAACACTCACACACACTCAAACACTAACACTAGTTTTTTTTTGTTTTTTTTACATTTAATCCCCCCAGCCTCCTTACCTTTTGGAGTACTGGGGGGATTCCCTGGGGTCCAGTGGTGCTCCTGGGCGGGTGGCCGGTCGGGCAGGCGGGCGCGCGAGGGAGCACTCAGTGCTTCCTCTTCAGCTCCCTCGCGCGCCGCGTAGGGATGCCGGCGCCGGAAGATGACGTCATCTTCCGGCTCTGGTATCAGTGCGGTGCGCGAGGGAGCTGAAGAGGAAGCACTGAGTGCTCCCTCGCGCGCCCGCCTGCCCGACTGGCCACCCGCCTGCCTGGGGTCAGCAGGGCCAACCTCGGGGGGCCCTGGGGTGGTCGGCTCCTGGGCCCCCCAGGGGAAGAGGCTGGCCCTGTGGGTACATACCGGGTCGCAGGGGCGGCCGGGCCCCCTGGTGGGCGGGGCCCAGTCGCAGCCGCGACCCCTGCGACCCTGGTATGTACGCCACTGTATGCCTGTGTGTCTGTATATATGTGTATGTCTCAGTATGTGTGTGTCAGTATGTATGCCTGTATGCGTGTATGTCTGTCTGTTAGTATGTATCTGTGTCCTTTTGTATCAGTGTGTGTGTATTCCTGTGGGCGGTATTTGGAGGCAGACCCTGTGGGTGGTATTTGGAGATGGGCCCCAGGGAGCCCAGACCCTGAGATGAGTTAGGGGTCCCAAAATTTCTGGTGGCGTACCTGCATACACTTACTGACACACACACACACACACACTCTATGACACTACAGCCAGTGATCCATAAATACACACTGACACACATACATATTGACATTTTGCCATGCCGATAGTGCCTATTCTAGACAATTCAGACACATCCTGAGGCTTGCATTCCAAATGGAAGACAAAGAAAGTGAAAGCATGAGAGAAACTCATCAAAGTCCTTGAACCTTTTTCAAATTGTGATTTTGTTTCAGCCAAATACATGTGCTATTGTTTAAAATCTGTGATTCCACTGAGTTCAGGGGAGTTTAGGATGGGAAATGAGTGCAATCTCCCGTTGCCATTTGCTAAATACATGTCCATTTTCAGTCTGGCAATGCTTTTGTTTCTTCCCTGTAGTTTCAAGTGTGTTCAGATGTCTTGTCAATTCCATAAGGAAGTACAGCTTTGTCAGCCACTGAGGATCTGACAAGCTGGGTCTCTGGGAGCCTTTTAATTCCCCCAAAATCCGTTATCTATGGAAGCAGCTCCTTAAACCTTTTCAACACATTCCCGCGACTTAGCCATTTGACTACATTAAACTATATTAAATCTCCATACTCTCCTTCAACCTCTTCCAGGTATCCTACAAATTGCCAATTGTCTATTAAAGGGACACCAGAACAACTAGAGCTTATTGAATTTGTTCTGATGAGTAGAATCACTACCTTCAGGTTTTTTGCTGTAAACACTGTCTTTTCAGAGAAAATGCAGTGTTCACATTACAGCCTAGTGATAACTTCACTGCCCACTCCTCAGATAGCTGTTAGAGATCCTTCCTGGGTCATGGCTGCCTAAAATGCATCCAAACATTCAGTGTCTCCTCCCTCTGCATGCAGACACTGAACTTTCCTCATAGAGATTCATTGATTCAATTCATCTCTATGAGGAGATGCTGATTGGCCAGGGCTGTGTTTGAATCATGCTGGCTCTGCCCCTGATCTGCCTCTTTGTCAGTCTCAGCCAATCATATGGGGAAGCACTGTGATTGGATCAGGCTACCACTTCTGATGATGTCAGCAGACTGCTTATTTTTTTTGAGGAAAAAAGCATGCAGGGTTACAGCTTCAGGCTTGAATATAGTAAGATTTTGCTATATTTATGGAGGCATGAGGAGGACAAGGGGGCTAGATGGTGGTTTTAACACTATAGGGTCAGGAATATATGTTTGTGTTCCTGACCCTATAGTGATCCTTTAACTAGAAACATAGAAACATAGAATGTGACGGCAGATAAGAACCATTCGGCCCATCTAGCCTGCCCAATTTTCTAAATACTTTCATTAGTCCCTAGCCTTACCTTATAGTTAGGATAGCCTTATGCCTATCCCACGCATGCTTAAACTCGTTTACTGTGTTAACCTCTACCACTTCAGCTGGAAGGCTATTCCATGCATCCACTACCCTCTCAGTAAAGTAATACTTCCTGATATTATTTTTAAACCTTTGTCCCTCTAATTTAAGACTATGTCCTCTTGTTGTGGTAGTTTTTCTTCTTTTAAATATAGTCTCTACCGGCCTACAACAGATCCATCAGTTATACCGCAACGGAGAAATAGTCCAATTTGAGGAGCTACAACAAGACCGCCATTTAACACCGGCAGATTTTTTCAGATTTGTCCAGATACAGGATTTTGCCCGAAAGCCACGTATTAGAGCCGCGGCACGGAAACAGCTGACTTTTTTCGAGAAATTGTGTTCGGAGGAAATGGCACCTAAAGGTATGATCACACTTCTGTATACACACCTTAGTATAGAAAACAAAGAGTGGGGGAGTTTAACGTATACTGAGCAATGGGAGGCGGACCTTGGAGAGGTCCTGGAAGGACTTGAATGGCAGGAGATATGGGAATCGAATAAAAATGCTTCCATATGTGTTACGCTCCAGGAACAGACATGGAAGACTATGTTCAGGTGGTATACCACACCAGTGAAATTGTACAAAATGCATAAACTAGATACGGACGTTTGCTGGAGAGGCTGCGGATTCCGCGGAACGTACATCCATATGTGGTGGAAATGCTCGAAATTACACAGCTTCTGGAAAGCGGTGGAGGAACTCTTGGAGCAAACCTTTGATAAACCCCTGAAGATGGACCCCTGGACATACTTGCTGAATAGAACAGTAGAAGGGTGGACCAAGAGAGAACAGAGATTAGCTCATAAAATAACTCTAAGCGCGCGTAGAGAGATAGCGACTAAGTGGCTGAAACCGGAAGGTCCGTTTTTTTCTGGGGTGATCTCTAGGGTACGTGAATGCAGGATTATGGACGATTTGACTGCCAGGATAAAGGGTACGACTGTAACTTTCCATAAACTTTGGGAACCGTGGGACAATAGCCCAGTGGGCTCGAGTGGTGATTGACAGGGAACGGACCATAGCATAGACTAGGTACACTTATCGATCCCCCTCCCCTCCTCTCCCGAGGACATTTTGATTGCACTACTATCGGAATAGGGGTTCTCCCCCCCCCCTCTCCCCTTTCCTCTCTTTTTTCTCTTCCTTTTCTCCTGATCTTTTTCTCTTCTCACTTTTCTTTTTCTACTGTACTTCTGTCTCCTGCTCCTTTTCCTGCTATCTATCTTTCTCTCCTTTCCTTTCTCTCTATCTCTTGATAGCCAAGAGATTAGTATTTCTCCGCGATAGGTTTAATCAAGCTGTCAGAAGTGCTGGGATACCCATGAATAGAAATGGCTATGACACGCAGTGCGGTAGACTGGGCTCCAAATATAGCCAATATGCCTGTGAGACAGGTGAAAGCTCCCTTGATGGGGCAGTGACCGTAGGGGAACGCGGGTAGATCTCGCTTGGCCTACCTGATATATATATCTTAGCTTTTTACAAAGTTCTAAGCGGGCTTCTGCGTAAGCCCGAAGGTTTCCATGCAATTGTTTCACCCGTTGAGTGGAAGCATAAAGTTCATCCAAAATTCTAGATGGGTAACAAGGCACTAACGGTTTCAACATGACTTATCGATATGTAATGGATATACACCTCATGTGCCCAAGGAAGTTTTGCTTGTCATTGGCTTCTGCGTAAGCCTGTAAGTTGGTCATGTACTTGCTATAACCTATCATATGACACACAAAAAATAAATAAAAGAAAACCCTTTGTAGACGGCAGGTACCAATAGTTTTTAAGGAATGGGCGTAGATTGTATTTGTTGCACTATGTTATGCTTCTAAGGATTGTATTCACATTGGCTTCTGCGTAAGCCCAAAAGTTGATGTACACTTGCTGCGTCTATTGAGTGAAAAAATAAAGAATTTAAAATAAATAAATAAATATAGTCTCCTCCTTTACTGTGTTGATTCCCTTTATATATTTAAATGTTTTTATCATATCCCCACTGTCTCGTCTTTCCTCCAAGCTATACATGTTAAGATCCTTTAACCTTTCCTGGTAAGTTTTATCCCCCAATTCATGAACCAGTTTAGTAGCCCTTCTCTGAACCCTCTCTAAGGTATCAATATCCTTCTGAAGATATGGTCTCCAGTACTGTGTACAATACTCCAAGTGAGGTCTCACCAGTGTTCTGTACAATGGCATGAGCACTTCCCTCTTTCTACTACTAATACCTCTCCCTATACAACCAAGCATTCTGCTAGCATTTCCTGCTGCTCTATTACATTGTCTGCCTACCTTTAAGTCATCAGAAATAATCACCCCTAAATCCCTTTCCTCAATGTTGAGGTTAGGACTCTATCAAATATTCTGTACTCTGCCCTTGGGTTTTTACATCCAAGATGCATTATCTTGCACTTATCCACATTAAATGTCAGTTGCCACAATTCTGACCATTTTTCTAGTTTACCTAAATCATTTGCCATTTGGCTTATCCCTCAACTCAACATAATATTCTTATCCCCAGAGTCCCATACGTTGTATCATATAGGGTGCTATCCGTCTTGCTCTAGAATTATCGTACAGGTAGACGTTCTTTACGTCGTTAACCTATGATAAAGCTACCTATCTGTTAATTTCATATACACTATATTGCTCTAATGCGTAGAATTATCTGCTCAATAACTGTTTATTTCATAAAACTTCAGTTCCACAACTGTCTTTCCTTGCCTCTAATTTATCACACAGACAATTATATCAGCTTATTACA